CACACAACCACAAGCACACAACCATAAACACACAACCACAAACACACAACCACAAACACAACCGCAGACACATCCACAATCACACAACCACAAGCACACAACAATAAACACACAACCATAAACACACAACCACAAACACACAACCACAAACACACAACAACAAACACACAACCACAAACATACAACCACAACCACACAACCACAAGCACACAACCACAAACACAACCACAGCCACAACGACAAAAACGCAACCACAAGCACAACCACAAACACAATCACAAACGCACCACTACCACTACCACTACCACTACCACTACCACTACTACTACTACTACTGCTACTACTGCTTCGACTACTACCACTACGACGACGACTACTACTACTATCACTACTACTACTAGGACCCGGGACGTTTGCAAGGTTCGGGCCCCGAAGGTCGGGCCCCTAACTGCGCACTACTATTGCTATAACCACCGCAGTAGTAGTAGTAGTAGTAGTAGTAGTACTAGCAGTGGTCGTAGTAGTCGTAGTAGTAGTAGTAGTACTAGTAGTAGTAGTAGTAGTAGTAGTAGTAGTAGTGGTAATAGTGGTTGTTGTTGTTGTAGTCGTAGTAGTAGTAGTAGTTGTTGTTGTTGTTGTTGTACTACTACTACTACTACTACTACTACGACTACGACTACGACTACGACTACGACTACGACTACTACTACTACTACTACTACTACTACTACGACTACCACCACTACTACTACTACTACTACTACTACTACTGCTACACTACTACCACCACCACCACCACTACTACTACTACTACTACGACTACCACTACTACTACTACTACTACTACTACTACTACTACTACTACGACTACGACTACGACTACGACTACTACTACTACTGCTACTACTACTACTAGACTACGACTACAACTACGACTACGACTACCAATACCTACTACTACTACTCCTGCTGCTACTACTACTACTACGACTACTACTCCTTCTACTACTAACACTACCACCACCACCACCACCACCACCTCCACCACCACCACTACCACTACCACTTCTACTACTTCTACTACTTCTACCACTACCACTACTACTACTACTACTACTACTACTACTACTACTACTACTACTAC